TAGTTCCTTCCATCAGTCATTGACTTAATCAGTAATGAGCTAAAAATATGTTTTCCATATATGATTTTGGAGGAAAACAAACATACAAACACAATACAATACATTGTTATAAACACATTGAAATTGAAAGTTATTAAGTTGATAAATTATGCACTTAAAAAATAAATTCGCCCTATCCATACACACATAAACATAACTGACTCTTTAAGCAATCCTACTTCGACAGTTCTCATCATGTGACAGCTTTTTGTTACTGTTCAGTTCAAAACACCTCTCATCGTAAATTCTAACAAAATAAAATTATAGTCCTGCACTCTGTTGTTAAACCCCGTTGTGTTCTTATTGAAAAATTTATAGCTTAGTATGAAGTTACATATTTTTCCAAATTCCATTAAACTATGTCCATAGACAAGCAAGCTACAACAGTTTATTTTTTTTCCATAAGAATAACATGGCCATTTTAAATTTACACATTTTTGGAATTCTTTCTGTAACCCTTATGTATACAACAACACTTCAATATACAAAATTATTTCTTTTTTTAAGCTCTACAAAATTTTTTGGAGAGAAATTATGAAATGTTGTGTTTTTAGGGTCAAAAATGGGAAAATCAATTTTATCCCATAAATCCCCCCATAAACCACCGTTCCCATAGTCTGATTATGCTGGTTCGGGAACTCGTTCGAATAATTCAATTCAAAATTCAAATTCGTTTATTCAGCTAAAAATTAACAAAGTAATTGCATTAGCTAAGTCAGAAAAAAAGTACAACTCATCTTAGGCTACACTTACATAATATATATACAAAAATAAGCTTATCTAATTTCAAGAGCAAATTGAGCTTCTCATCCTCTATTACAGGTTGAAAAAAACTCCTTGAGGCATTAACATGAGAAATTAATTAGATCATCTTTCAAACGTTTTCTAAATATTGAATGGTTTGATTCCAACTTCAGGGACCGGAAAAGGTTATTGAATAGTTAATAGCGCGTTATAGAATGTATGCTTTCTGAAGAAGGCGGTTGCATATTTCGGATCAGGTAAATCATATGAATTTCTCAAAGGGTATGGCCATGCTGAAGATTTATCTGAGACTACAAATAAAGACAAATGTTGTTTGACAAAATCTAACGTTTGCAGGATATATGAACTGGGGAAAGTTAAAATTTTATATTTCTTGAAGTAATCTCTGCAAGATTGGCGCTTGGGCAGTGAAAAAATAGTTTGCACTGCCCATTTTTGGAGTTTGAATAAAAACTTGGTGTTTCTACTCTCATGACCCCAAATTGGTACAACATAGTGGGGGTAGATGAGGCCACAATATGCTGAAATCAGGACATGGAAGTTTGTTGTGTTTTTCAGGCTGCGCAACACAAATATTCCAGAGCTTATCTTTCCTGAAATGCTTTCTATATGGCTCTTGAAACTGAGACCGTTGTCTATGGTCAATCCCTAGAACGTAACTCGATAACTCTGTCAGTTGGGTGAACCACTGTTTCATCTATGAAAAGGCTAAAACTCTTGTGGTGTTTGTTGGTTATAGAAAAATTTATGAATTGGGTTTTTTTAGGGTTTATGGTTAACAAGTTGTCATCAAACCGTTGGACTAAATTGTTTGCCTCAGAAAAGGCACTAAATTCTGACAGATCGATATCGCAGGAAACTGAAAGGGAGGTGTCGTCGGCAAAGAAAGTAGGTTTTGCAGCTACTAGCTGGAGTGGATGAAGGGAGGGAATTTATAAAAAGGAGGACTAGAACAGCCCCGATTACAGAACCCTGAGGCACCCCCCTCACTTTAAGGAACTTGGCAGATGAATAGGTACGCAAAAGTCTGGTCTCATCCGCTGAACAGATCTCCACAAACAGATTTCTGCCTTAAAGGTAACTCGAGATCCAGCTTAAACCCAGGCCACGTATTCCCACCTCACTCATTCAATGTAGCTGTGACGCTTGCGTCACAGCGGAGACGCGTCAGACGGCAAATCAGCTGATAACTAGAGAACTTGGGGGAGGGGATAGGAAGCGCAGAGAGTAGTACTAGTAGTTGTGCTCTGGCGGCTGGCCGTGGCGGTTCGACGCTGGACATAGTCACCGAATTGATAACTTGTCGTTATATTAAGTAATTTTAAAATATGTTCTAATTTTTTTTCAGGAAGGGGGGATTAAGGGGTTAGGGAACTCTTAACTATTTCAGCTTAATATGTAAATTATACTTTTTCAGCACACTCGTACCCTTAAGCGCACCTGGAAGTTTTACTTGTTCTAAACTATATATTACATTTAATTAGATGCATTAGAAATATTAGATAATCAAAATGGCTGTGATATGGATGTGGTTTGGCTCAGTAGTTAATTTAAGTTTATTATTATTCAACTCAGAATATCGCTCCCAGCAATAAGCTGATTATATTGAGCCTTAACGATCCTTATAAGTCCAGTACCGTTACTATAAATTATAGTACATACTTCATAGCAGCAACCTGAGATCAACCGCATCAAATGCCTTACTGAGGTCGAAGAAAATCCCTGCTGAACAATTTCAGGAATCGAGCTCATTTACTACTCCAGTCAAGAAGTCATACATAGCCGATAGCGTAGACTTCCCCTTCAAGAACCCGTGTTGTTTCTTAGTAATTATATTATTACTCTATAGAAATTTCCATAACCTAGTGACCATCGCCTTCTCAAACACCTTTATAGATATTGGTCTGTAGCTGCTGCATACTCGGGGGTTACCTTTTTTGAATATCGGTCTAACAACAGTATCCTTTAGACCTCGGGGAAATGATCCTGACGTAAAGGAAAAATTTATAAGGTGGCACAGAGGTGTCAACAACTGCTTTTAAATGCTCTTAAGAAGCATCAGAGATATTTTGTCTGCTCCTGCACTCTTTTTATTTTTTAGGTTTGATATGACCTTATTGATTTCCTTCTCGGTTGTCGGGTAGAGGAACATTGATGTGTAAATCCCCGGTCTGGCCATCCTGTGAGACAACTCTGGCCAGCAGTGGTTTTAGTGAAGTTCCCTACATTGGAGAAATAATTGCTAAATTTGTCACAAATATCATCAGGGCCGGTAATTTAGCTTGCCATTTGTCTTCAAGAACAAGTTCACTTTTAAAGTCTTTGTTTCGTTTCTCTTTTGTTTTTATAATGTCCCAAATTGCTTTAGATTTATTTTCCGATGTTTCTATTTTATGAAGATTTGTTTGAGACTTATTATCATGCGACTGTATTGGCATTTTAGTTTCCTATAGTATATACTGAGATAGTGGGATGATTGAAGATGTTTGACCTGATTAAAGACAGTAGAGTTGATTCCGTATGGTACTTCCTTTGTCAAAGCAACTTTTTTTGCAAGTTGTATGATTGGTTTTTTAAGTTTTTGGGGAAACACAGCTTCAAAAGAATAAAGAATCTTAGTCATGAAAATATCAAACTTAGTACCCAAGTCTAAGGCAACATAAACGTCAATCCGGTTTTCTTTCGGTATAAAACTTTTAAATAATTGTATATTACTATATGAAAATGTCCTTAAACGATCATACTGGTCTTTAGAAGATGGTTGGGTCAGGTTGTAATATAAAGTTGCTGTCTGTGCATGGTGATCAGATAAACAAGGGGTGATGACTGAACAATCAACATTAGTCTCATTAGTAAATACATGATCAATAAGAGTATGTGTGCCATTTACTTCACTGGTATATCCCTTAAGAATGTTTTTTAGTCCAAAAGAAGCCATCATTGTGACTAGTTTTTGGGTTATAAAGGAGTCACAAAAGAGGTCAATATTAATGTCACCCATAACTACAGTTATTTTGTGTTGCTTTTGATGCGTATTTAGACATTCGGTGATCATGTCAAGAAACGCGTCATGTAGGTTAGAGAGAGGTCTATAAGCTGCCAGTAATAACATTTTGGTATTAGTACAGTAGACTCCCTCTTACCTAGACTCCTCGGGACCGAGGCCAGTCCGGATAACGGTTTTCCGGTTAAGCCGACGTCCCCAAAAACTCGTTAAAACAGACCGTTTGAATGCATACTGTATACAGATTTGACTAAAATTTAGGAGAGCATTGTATTCAGACACATGATCACTGGCTTCAAATCTTTCCCACGAGAACAGTCGTTTCAGTACCGCCCACTTCCTGCCGATCTAGTCCGGTTAAACCGATGCGCTGATAAAAATTGTCCGGTTAAAGAGATGTCATTTCCGCCGAGTGAAGTCCGGTCAAACCGATGTCCGGTTAAAAGGTGTCCGGATAAGAGAGAGTCTATCGTATCAATTGCCACGGACACTGCAGCAAGCTCACTAACACTCTCTTGAACAAAATCAGTGCAATCCAAAAGCTTCACAAGTCAAGCCTGGTCTACACCAGATTCCTACATATGGTAGTTCTGCAGTATGATGCAACACAGCTGAAACCATTTAGTCTAGAGAGAAAGATTTCCACCGTCTACAAAATGGTTTGGAAAGAAATTGCAAAATATTATGTTTTAGGGTGAAAAATGGGGAAATCCCCATTTTTACCCCATAATCCCCCATTCCCACAGTCCGATCATGCTGGATCGCAAACTTGTTCGTTTTTATAGCAAATTTCATCAAAATCGGATGATTTTTGCTCCAGTTATCGTGCTAACAGACACAAATATATATTTATGAATTCAAACGGATGGTGTTTTTTGTCACTGGGGTCCTTAAAACGAAAAAGTCAATGGCTCCTGGGTCCAGGTCTTACCATGAGACCTACGGTAATAGCTTGTTCTCTATATGGGAAACTCGCTAATATATGAATTTGAACGGATGGTGTGTTTTTTAGTCTCTGGAGACATCAAAACAAAAAAATTAATCGGTCCTGGTCTAGGTCTTACCATATAAGACCCAAATTCGCTAATGCTAATATTCCCTATTAAAGAAATATGGTATAAAAATTTAAAATATTACATAATTAATACAAAATATGAATTAATGGCTTACTGAGATTGTTTTGTCATTGCAGGGGAGAGATGGAGGTTAAAACCCCTGATGTGTGTACTGAGTATTTCAGGGAAATTGTATTAAGTGAAATCCCTAAAGTGCTTGAAACACTCAATAGAGATTGGCCAAAGCACTTTGTGGTAAGTGATACTTTAGCTATTTTCATTTTGCCATTTTCACACAAAAGTATAAGAAATTATGAAAGAACAGTTTAATCTGTGGTCTATTTGTCCGATAATGATTTTCCAAAATAATGTTTTCAACACCTCCATTGTGTTCCCAGAGGTTTCTCTTCATAATAAACTTTCCAACTATCACTAGTGGTTGTATCATCTATTACAGATACTGTTAATAAGAAATAATAAATAGAGTTAACACGTTTGCTACCGAGCGTCGCATATATGCGACACCGCGATCATTGCCACGGACCGAGGTTTACAATTTAATCTTACACATAGACTGGCTGTCACTTGGTTAACAGTACACGCAGACCACGGGCGATAACCTGTTAAGCAGTGGTAATTTACTTTGTAATACTCTGCAATCCTGTTTGTAAATAATATATTATTGTACAACCCCTCACACGACAAGGGAATATAGTGGTAAGACAATATTTTGAGGGAGGCTTTAGTTGATCATGTTTTTCATTATTTCCTTCTGTGAACAAGCTTGTCCTGTGTAGTTTTGCTAAACCAACATATGAGCCCAACTGTCTTTGCAACAAACATTCCACCGTGAAAGGTTTTACTTCCCGAACTAATTCAACAAGTCTTGTTTAAAATTGGCACGAATTAGTGATTTGTCAATGAATGGACTATAGGTAAGGATAATGTAAGTTGTTTTGCAAGGACCTAGTCTTAAATAAATTGGTAATAATTTGACCTCTTAAGAATTGATTCAATTTTACCCCCCATTGGTTTATTTTTGTTCCAGCTTCATCAACTTCTTCGGGTTTTTATGGAATACCAGAAAAAGAAAACCAAGTTCAAGAACTCCTTATACCTCTATGGGACCTTGCATGATGGGGTGTTCTTGAATATCACAAAAATGGAGGTAAGACTTTATAACGTAGTAACTTATGTAGTTACTTGTAGTTAGGTAACAAACTTGATTTGGATCAAAATTTTATTTCACAGAGTATAATGGAAAAGAGTCAATCATATGGAAATGGTATTTATATAATATAAATAAATATATAAATATTATATAATATATAATATAAATTTTCAAGAACTTCCATTTAAGTAGTCAAAGACTGAGTTGAATGAATGTAGCTATCTATTGTGAATATATTGCTTATTTGTTAACGTACCAGGCTCTGTCGCTGTGGTTGGTATTTACGATAAGTCTATCAATAGTCAAAGTTGAACGACAAAAAACACTGCACCAGCTGATCGATTTAGCAGTGTTGATTAAAATTTAGTATGTTATAGCCTTTTCAATTCCAAACAAACCAGTTTAACTCCCATTGCTTAAAAATTGCATTTAAAAATTTACTGTATCACAATTTATTTGATTTTCTCATAAAAACCTGTAAAATAACGGAAAAATTTGATTTTCAAAAAACCGTTTGACAGATTTTGATTAAGATTTAGCATGTACTGTTATGTGAAGTATGTTCAAACAAAATAAGATAATGCTCATTGCTGTAAAAATTATGACTTTAAAGTTATTGTTGCCTTTGTGATTTTCCCTATAAAATATCATAGTTACTCCCACCTCTTAACCATAATGGTTGTTGACAAGCTTATGGGAGAAAGTATTTGTCAGATTGCTAACACCGTTTACTTGATTTGTGAAAAGCTAAGAACTTACCAATGCATTATCATAAAGGTTGTTATCAAAATAAATGTAAGAAAATATTTCACAATCAACAAAAATATTTTAAAATAGGAGGAAATTTACAAATGTGTTCCCTATATTAAAATATTTATTTAAAGGGAGTTATTTTTTTTATTTATTTCAACTGTAAAATAACAGTATTGAGTATTCCAAGAAATAAATTAGATATTTTCGTATATTACAAAATAAATTTTCATATTAAATCAAACACTTTATTTGCGAACACTTTTGTAAGGAACCTTTAAATTTTAACGCCAGCACTTCTTTATTTTCTCAACGATGGGTAATGTGTTTAATGGGAAGTTAAATGTAAGTCGTGTTAGTTTAAATGTTTGTTGGGAAGTTTAATTGATAGCAGTATAATATGACCATCTCTTGCGGTCCTGTATAGAATATCATCGCCTTCCACAATCACAGCAAAATAGGACTGAATATTTACTGTGGTCGCAAAGACATAATCATCGTCCCTTGGGATTGTAGCTGAAGTGTGAATTTTACATTGAAAACAGCTGTTCCTATTGCAGTATGAAACACCCAACTATTCATCTCAGAGATGGTAAATGAATACAATACTGTACTAACTATTTTGAAACTTGTCGGCAGCTTGGGGATAAGGAAGCAATAAAGATTTATGTTGATGCAACCGCAAGAGATACAAGCATGGTGACAAAGGCTCTGTCAGAAACTGATATTATTCCATGGGAGAAGACTTTTACCTTCACCCATATACACTCAGACTACTCCACCATCATTCAGGGTGTCTTGGCATCTCACAAAGCTAACAGCTTCGATGTATCTCCCAACAACATGTTCTGGTTTCCATCTGGAAAAACAATCAGAATGTCGTGAGTACATAGGGTGGTTAGTCAACTAATATTTAGTTCTATATTAGCGATCTTTTGATCCCTGATTAGTTATCATTGTGCAGATATTATTATTATGGGCACAACAATAAGAAGCAAACTCTCTAATACTGAAATAGAATAGAAGAGGCCTTTTCACAATCACTTGGAAATAGAGATTCAGTTGTAATTATGTTGCTTTTTAACTCTGATAGTCGTTCCCAAAAATTCTTAGAGCAATCGGCCCAGCAAAATCTGGAATGCCTAGACTACACTAGGTGCGATGTTCTATTGAGTTGTAAGTGTAAGTTCCAATATGTCACTCTTGTGTCCACTCTGCAGCCTGTGGAGCTGTAATGTTATAAAACTGTTGAGAATGAGAGAGCCAAAAGCCAGGGTAATATTGGATTGATAAAACTCAACTCAGATTTCTCACTATGCACTTAGCCTTTTAATTCCTCTTTTCATGTTAAATTTCAGGTATATTTTCCATCCACAGCCTACTAATCTTGCACAGCACTACTTCAGTATTTCAATCAACTTAGAGAAAACAATAATAATAATAATTTTCAATTAACTTTTTGATTGCAGGGAGTTGCCCCAAGACACAATTTGTGATTTCCTGGATGGATCTCATGCTGATGAAATGAATCAAAACTGGCCACATCGAAGTCCACGATCTGAGTTGGTTCTTAAAGAGAATATAGAAAAAAACTTTGGATTGGGTATGCCTGAAAATTCTTAAATGTTCTTGTATTTTGTAATACTATCCCAAATAAGTAATAATTAAATGGTTGAAGAATAAATTCAGTTAAGGAGAAGCTATCCTAATCATGTAGGTAATATGTAACGATCTGTGTTACACATTTAATTTATTACATTATTAGGCCTACAAAGTTTATTTCTTTAGGCTCTAGTTTTACAGTACTTCAGGCTAGAAGAGGTTGGATGTTGCGGCATTATCACTTAGATAAAATCCATTGGTGATTGGCGAGATTTGAACCCAGGATCTCAGGACCCGAAGTCCCGCATTTTATTACATTGTAATTTAAGGGGGCAATTAATTTATGAGGGGCACAAAAAACCGGAGTTTTAAAAAAATACGCAAATAAATTACAAATTATTTACAAATCGACCGTATCACCTTCAAAGTTGGCTACTCTCCATTAGACGCTATGCACTTGTCCCAACGGTTTTCCACTGTACAAAACAATGTTTGAATTCATCTTTTCGGGTGGCCATCAGCTCCTCCCTCATATTTTTCTTGTCATCTTCAATGGTGTCAAATCGTTGTCCTTTTTTACATACCACTCACTAAATACATCTTTACATGCGAAGAAACTGAAAAAAGTCACATGGAGTCAGGTCAAGTGAATCAGGTGTGTGGCGTAGCGCAAAAATCTTGTGTTTAGCCAAAAACAAGCAAACGTCGATGGCTGTGTGTGCAGCGCAGGTGCATTATGGTGGAAGAACCAGTCCTGTGTCTGCCACGGATCGGGACTTTTTGTTGAAAACACTGTCACGCAATCTTCAAAAAAATTACAAATAGAAGGACTTATTCATGTTCTGACCTGGGGGAACGAACTATTGAGTGAACATTGCGTTCGGCATCAAAAAACAGATCAACATTGTTTTCCTACAGTTACCTGACAAAGTGGGCTTCCTTGGCACTGATCATAGCACACAAAGTAGCTAATTGCTGCATTTACTTACTTTTACCTCCCAAATTTTTTTTACACACCAGTATTACAGCCAAACAACACAATACAGTGTGCTTTTATTAGGCAAATAATATGTGTACGCTTGAAAATAAGTTGGCCACACTTGAAGATACTACGACTACGATCAGCTGGTGCAGCGTTTCCCATTTCGTTCAACGCATGAATTTAAACTAACCTAAAAGTGTGGTGCTGTACAGTGTCTGAAAGACTAGTTATGCTTTATATCAACTGTAGGAAAAATATAATGTGCAAAGTGTCACAATGTTTGATTTGACCTGATGGAATTTTTGTGGACAGGGTGGCAATGGCGTCTCTCGTTTGCTTGACTGTTGCTTTCTTTCTGGCTCATAACCATATAGCGGACTCATCACCAGTAATTATTGTGGACAGAAAACTTGAATGAAGCTACTGTTTCAAAACTTGAGAATTTTCCACTCGCTGTTCTTTTTATTGCCATCCAGAGCTCGGGGAACAAACTTGGAAGAAACTCTTTTCATTCTTAAATCTTCAGTTAAAATCCGCTGGTGTAAGTTCCAAAATATTCCACTTATCTCTGCCAATTGATCAATTGTCTGTAAACATTCTTCAAGCACCAGATCCCAAATTTTTTCCACATTTATGTCCTTTCTGGCAGTTGATGGACGTCCAGGACGAGGTTTGTCTATAAAGGAAATGTCACCATTTTTTTAACAAGTAAATCACTCATACACTTGAGTTTTTCCCCACAGCTTAATATTTTCAAGCTGTTGAACATTAAAAGCTTTAACATTATTTTACCGATTATAAAACAAAACTTAACAGTTAAAAAGTTACACATTGTTCACTTTCACTTGCCATCGCAAAAAACACACTTAATGGTGCCAACAAAAACTGTCAGATCAGACAAACACAACCAGCCAGCTTGACGGCAGCAGGGGTGGCAGCGAGTTGCCATACACACTTATGGGCCGAAACGCCAATTTAAGCTCTGCCCATGGCAACATTATTCCAGTAATTTTCCTCGTACATCTTTTTATTATTGTTATTTATTTTTACAGTTCATCATTTTTGTTACTACTATTAAACTTTGACAGTGATATTTTTTATCATTTTATTATTTTTGACAGCCTCACTCATGCCTGTTAGATTATTGCGTGACTATTAGCTTTGGATTTCAGCAACTTAACTTATTTATCTCGCAATACAAAGAAAACATAGATTATAATACCCTCAATGCAGCAAATCTGCAGACTAAGCGAATTTCCATTTGCCTGATTGGATTTACACTAAAATGTCTCCTTAAAAATATCACATTTATTCCCTATTTAAATATAATTAGTTTAACGAGTACTTTGGTTTGCTGCCACAGGGAGGGTAAGTGTTTTTTTTTTTTTTTTTTTTTTTTTTTTTTTGTAAAATGTTTATAGTTAATTAAGAAATAAATGCATATTCCAAATTTGGTCAAAATATGTTCATAATCAAGTTTACTTATTCTCCATAAGAATAACATGGAAATTTTAAATTTAAATTTTTTGTTAATTTTATTTGTAACCATTAGGCGCAAATAACGCTTCAATATACTAAGTTATTTGTTTTTTAAAGCTCTACAAAATGGTTAGGAAAGAAATTGCTAAATTTTATGTTTTTCGGGTCAAGTTCCAATAGTCTGATCATGCTGGTTCGCGAACTTGTTCGAATAAATGTAGGCTTACACGTTTATACCAAATTACATCAAAATCGGATCATTTTTGCTTGAGTTAACGGACACACATATAAATATGGTATATGAATTTGAACGGATGGTGTTTTTGGCCTCTAGGGTCGTCAAAACGATAAAGTAAATCGGTCCCGGGTCCAGGTCTTACCATGAGTACTACGGTAATAGCATATTCCCTATATGGAAAATTCGTAAAAAACCAAAAGGTTGGACACTGCAACAGTGTTAGTAATTTAGAACAGAAACTCTGATATGGGAAGGGAAAATACTCTTAACCGAAAATTTTTAAACCCCTGAAGATCTTACCTGGATCCTAGGCCAAAGGCTGAAGAATTGGACCAAGCCCAAACTCCCCCCCCCTCACCCCCCCACAATAGGCCAAATACACCTACCAAACTACTTACAGTGTTCTTGGTCATTAAGAGTTGTTGTTATACACTTCCTCACTTCCAGGCTACTCACACAAACATTTCCAAACACTTTCTCTTCACAGTATTTGTCCCCTACTATTACACTAACGTAGGAGTGTAAAAAACTATTTACGTGTTTCCTTTAGCACCCAACCTAAGTAGGTAATGTTAATTAACACGTTCGCTACTGCAATAGTACGAAATTTTTCATTCACATGGACCAGCGACGCACATATGCGACGGCCGGTTTCCACCCATAGACTGCCGTCGCAAAATAGACTGCCGTCGCATATTTGCGTCAGGGTTCTAATGTTATTAAAATACTTATATATCTTTGTAACGGTCTATTTGAAGGCACTGAATTCCCTGCAGTGGTCTACAGAGATGTCTGACGCACAAATGCGTCGCTTTTTCTGTGGATATGATGATTGGTGATGTCATATGATAGTTGGAAAAACTGGTCTTTACTTTTCTGTATCACTGTATGTATGTGTGCAGTATGTATGCTGCATTATCCTATGTAGCTGTTATATTTGTTCACTTGTTCAGTTATAAACTGTTCTTGAATAATCTGTTCTTTTTACTTACTTTCACCTCAAAACACAAACAAAAATGAACTGTCGCATATATGCGACGTTTGGTCTATTTCAAGAAAACTATGATGGTTTTCACTATTGTCTTCACTGTAGACCGGGCGTCGCAAATATGCAACATTACAAAAGGTTATAAAAAATACAAAAGAAACAAGAATAAATTATTTACAAACACGATTGTAGCGTATTACGATGTAAATGATCACTGTTTTACAGGGTTTCGCCCATGGTCTGTGTGTACTGTTATCCAAGTGACAACCGGTCTATGTGTAAGATTCAAATGCATATCTCGGTCCATGGCAATGACCGCGGCGTCGCATATATGCGACGCTCAGTAGCGAACGTGTTAAATTGGAAATAAATCTGACATGTTTTTAATATTTTATTGAAAATCCAATCAGAAAATGCAAATTAGCTTAGTTTGCAGGTTTGCTGAATATTGTGTGCTCTGTGGTTTGCTGTGGCAGGGTTTTTTGTACGATTCTAGATTTACTATTGTAGTTTAGAAATATTATTTTTATATGAGACAACGCATCAGTTTGAAATGTTTTGTCCACAACAGCTTCCCTGAACCGCTGTACCTTTTACACAGTATTATATACTGGTAATATATAAATTATACTATACACTTTATAGCTGCTGGGAGAGGATTGTGCTCCTCTTGTCTGTCTCCATCAGCTCTTCCGTGGTCATCTATTGTAATGTAAGGTTAAACAATGGGTCGATGCCAAGGAACACATATTCTAGGATAAATGTTGTACCGGTACTATTTTTTGTTCTTATTTTCAGGAATATTCCGTATCTCTGATCGCCTACTGATATCTTCAGCTCTGTGCAACTACGCGGGAGGGATCTTTGTGTTATACACAAATCCTGAGTTCCGAGGCAGGTCGTATGCTTCAAAGCTGGTACAACGAATGGTCCTAGAGATCCGGAAACGAGGATGGATTCCTTTCTGCACAGTCATCCTCGGTAACAAGAGATCCGAGGCTGTCTTTCGCAATGTCGGTTTCGAAAAGTTTTCCTTCGCTGACTACCTCATCGCTCGATAATCTCCAAATCGTCATGACAAGATTAGAACTATTACAGAGCAGTTTTTGTGTTAGTTAACCCTAGCAGTGGCCAACCGTCGTCTGGTGACGGTATGACGTTGATGCTTAGAATGGCCAAAGTCGTCTGGTGACGGTATGGGCCGAAATTTTTTTAACGGTAAAAAAACACTTATAATCAATTCAGATGAGAATAATATATATACCATTCGAAAGATCACATTCTGAACTTTCATTTGATTACATAAACAAACCCTGTAGCAGGTATATAACAATGTCACGACGATTAGAAATCAAATGAAATTTTGGCGCGGTACGACTTTTGCAGCCGACACTTGGGAACTGGCAAAACACGTCTTGTTTGGCATTACCCTGCTCGGGTAATTTTTGTCTTGGGATGTTGCGGGTGGTACCACTGGATAGCCATTGATTTTATCTTCATTGTGGTAGTGATATTTATAACTAAATATTGATTGCACAATCGGTACGATTTTATGAAAACAGCTGTTTTCGAAATTTCTAACAAATGGCCAACAGTCGTCTGGTGACTGTATGGAAAATACGAATTACATGCAGTGTAATTTATTATTACTAGTCATATAGTATGTCATTTTGAAGAGGAAGAAATATAGATTCAGAGAGTGGCAGCCCTGCACTCAGGGTTATTTCTGTATGCTCGCATGTAGACGACGGAAGTGAGTCATTACTGCTACAGTCTGTCAGCTGTCTTGTATTCGCCATTGTTTGTGTTGCTGCCGGTAATAGTGTTCGTTCTCGTGTTATCCGCGATTTATTACTAAATACGTTATTAGTTCGTAGTGTTAGTGTTAGTAAAGTTTGTGTGTGTGTATAACAGTAATCTTCATGCATAAATATTACTGAATTGTGTGAAATAGTGTTCATAAAAGGTTGTATTTTGTTAGCATCATGTCCTAATGACGATTCTGACATTCAGAGATTGTTGTAGAGACGGACCTTAGTTCGCCATGCTATATATGCTATATAATGATATACCCAAGGTGTTATACATTTTTATAAAGGTAAATGAATACACTACAACATGTTTATAATGGTTTGGGGGTAAAAAATTTTGTAAAAAAGTTATAGCCTATACTAAATACTGTATTTTGTTAGCATCATGTCCAAAAATGACGATTCTGACATTCAGAGGTGCTATATATGCTATATAATGATTCACCCAAGGTTCGCGATACAACTGGATAATTGTTTGTGGGAGGGGGGAAAAGGGTTGGGGCTGATGACTCACCCAGCCAGGTATACAGTGGTGGCAAATGACACAAATCCTAGAGTGGTGGCAAATAACACATATTCCTTTTAAATATGTATACAATAGGGTGTCACAAGAGTAGCAGTTTTATCAGCTGATTGGTTATATTGTTGCATGGTAAACAATAACAAATAATTGAGAGTCTCGTATAAGGATCGCAATGGAAGCTTGCATTAAAGCGCAAGGCGTGGAGTGGCTCATTACCATATTTCCAAAGCTGCGTTGTTGACCAGCATAGCTGGATAAACTGCATCAATTTTTAAGTATAAATATAAATTATTTACAACAACAAAATAAAACTTGTATCTTTCAAGGAAACAAATTTGAAAGTTTCAAAAATTAAAATAGGCCTTAACACCTGGCGGGTGACTACGGAGGTGATGATGTGCACTCTACCATTTGTCATCAAAATACTCTCTCATACGGAGTATAGTAGGCTCTTTGAAGAAGCCTATCTCGTACAACCCTGGCTTTTTTTTTGGAAGACCACTATTTTTCCTGCCGTCACGGGATAGAAACCTTTAATTTGAGCCCTCTCCCGTCGTTCCTTGACATCCCAGTCACCCACAATTTTGACGCAAAGAATCACCTTACGTAATTAATATATAGACTAGTGGCTTGTAGGGACACAAGTCCCTAAAAAGCTCAAGTGTAAAACGAATCATTGTAATATTTAAACAAAACTCAGAATCAAATGATCTTTGTGTCAGGATATATGTCCCATCAAGGGCGGTCCCAGGGGGGGGGGTCAGGGGGGTCATGACCCCCCCCAAAATATTTTTTATATACATAAAATATTATACCAGGGATACATTAATAATTTTTATTGCAAATCGTTTTACTCAATTGAAATTCGTTGTAGTCTTTACACTTGTAGCGAACGAAAGGACTAATTACAAAGTCTAACCTAAAACTTGGTATCGTTCAAGTCTGACTATGTTTTTGTACGTTATGAAAAGTAGGGAAGATCGGCAGACAACGGACGCTTTCAGCCATATATGGCAACGGCAGTGTCCGATGCTGACGTTCGACGTTCGGCTGCATTCTTCTTCTTATTTAATTTTTCGGCATTTAATGTTATAATTCATTTTAACCCAGAATCCAGATTATTGAAAACTGCAGTTTGGTATTGGATAAAGAAAAGAAGTTGTATCAATAGTCAAAGTTTGAAAGGTAGTTGAATATTAACTTATCTGAGTTCAGCGTTAGGAATTTGTAATTACAGTAATGTAATTCAATGATTACCGTAGAAAATTTCAAAACTTTCAATATTAAATAGTATTCATATTTAAAGCACCTGATATCATATTTAAGAATAACACAACCCAATTGGCATGTTGCTAGCCACAAAACAACAACAAAATGGTAGTGTGTCAGACTTGCGGAAGGGACGGATTTAATTCCCGGCACAACCACAAAAACGTTGCACAAAAACTTTATTCTCACGTTGACCCCTTGTAAAATGCCACTGAGTAGAAAAAAATGAGAACACTGAGAACCAATTCTTCAGGCGGTAGCAGTGACGGGACGCCGACGCAACGTTAGTTGGGATGTGTACTTAGTTGGGTAGTGTACTTTGTGTAGGTTAACTGTTGCTTACTGGGCAGGTATAATGCAGTCGTGTTTGGTGCAAGTTCTTAAACACTTCTTAGATAAAATAAGTTCTCTTTTTCGAAATCTTGGTCTGATTTTGGACATTTTCTGTTTAGCATGAACATCGGCACCAGTTGAAAGGGGGTTTTCGTAAATCAATAATGCTTGAATGTGTTGTAATGTTGCGGTATTCCTTTGATATTTAAACCACAAGTCTCAATAATGCAAAATCATGACATTATTCAAGATTATTTTTAGACATTTCTTTGACCTTTAAATAAACTGGGAAGCTTGAACACATTAAACTAGGTCCTCAAAATAGCTTAAAAACCACTCATTTTAGCACGTTATTTCCAAATTTTTCCCGGGGGGGAACCCCCGGACCCCCCGGCTTTACTGGGGGGTATTCCATACCCCCCGGCCCCCCGGTGACCCCCCCCAAAATATATGTCTAGGACAGCCCTTGGACTCCCAGTACAACTACAACATATCTTTTGTGTAAAAACAGTTTGTGGTTTGTCTTTGTTGCTTTTGTTGATGTTATTTTCAATAAATAAATTGAATGCCTCCAGATGTTTAACTCTGCTAAAAACAGCAAACATGATTGTTTGTGAATATAAATATTGGTTTACTAATGTAGCTTTGGTAGTTTGGTTGGTGATGATAAAAAGGCTTCCCTGATTAAAACATTGGAAATTGTCATCGTCAAATATGAAAAGGCAAATAAAGAGGTGTGTTGAGATAAGCTTAGTTCTTGGCCAAACCCGCTAAATTAGCACCCCGACCTAGTTATTATTTATAAGTGTATACTCCTTTTGTAAAGTTTTAACAAAATTAGTGTAAAGTAAAGGCATTCCATTGACCAAACTTAAACCTAGATTTGTTTCTGATAAACATTTACAAAACTACAATGCCTGATCACAGACTATTTTGCGACTGGTTAGGGTTCCATTGCCCAGTAATCGAAACCAATCAGGAAATTACTTTTCATCAGCATCTTCGACATGCATATATTTGGTTAGTTTTAAGAAACGGAAACTACCTCTAGGTTTTACTGTTATATATGGATGCTCCCTTTACTACCATGCATGCTAGGCTATAGACCTATTATTTGAACCTTTTTCCTTTTTTGCTTGGAGCAACAGGCATTTACCTGGTTCAAAAATCTCCTAATTCATCTTTATTCCCAGGTTGGTTTTCTAAGAGTAGCCGTTGAGGTTATTCCACTTCATACAAAGTTTATACACTACAATAAATTTCAAGTTAGTAAATTTACAAAAAAAGTGTAGAATAAATCTTTAACATATGTTTTGAAATCAAAACAAAGCAGAAGTTTTCCATTTTATCTTGAATCGTTTATTATATAGCCAATGTTAAACATGTTATGTTTTTTAATGTTAAACATTTCTTCAACACAACAACAACCTTAAAATTAGAAGAAAAAAACTTAGTTATTTTTTCAGCCGTTCTTCCTTTGATTTGAGCCAACTCCTATGATTCATTCTACTACTTATCATACGCGTAACTAATTTACTTAAAAATACCCAATTACGTTATATTTTATTTTAAGTAAAAATTTGGGGAATTTCACTATTTTTCCCGCCGTCACGGGTTCGAGACCTTTAATTTGAGCCCTCTCCCGTCGTTCTACGACCTCCCAGTCGCCCACAATTTTGACGCAAAGAATCGGCTTACGTAATTAATATATAAATAATTTATAAGGTCAATAAAGACATAATTACATAAGAGATATTCTTTAATATAAATAACTTTTTTTTTAACATAGATGTAATGTAAAGGTAGAGTGTATTAATACTGACTGAAAAAACATCACTATGGATATAAATAAATACATAATTTCAATTAACGGACAATACTTCCTTTATGGAACAATACTAAATAGGTACTAGTACAAAATTGGTACAAGCTTAGAATAGAGCCAAGTTGCCAGCCAAGCTTTGGAATGTCCAATTGAACCATCGACGTTTTCACTGGAAGCTACCTTAGATAGTCTTTGTAGGTGATGGTGGTGGTACACTGTTATTTTCTTTAATTTCTTTCAAAGCAGGCCTGAAATAATAACAAATTAATAACACTCGGTCACAATATTATTTAACATAAATTACCCTGATAATTGGGTTCCACAATAACAGCAAAATCATGACTAATCATGAGCTAATTTTAATAGCTTAGTATTAAATAAATAAATTTGCCAAGTTTGATAAAAATATATCTCTATAAACAGGGGTGCCCATCCCCCCCAAGACTCATGACGCAAATCCAAAACCAAATGAGATTAATAACGTGTGGCTTTGGCTTACATAACGGGTTTGATTTATCACGGGTACTAATATGTAACTGTCAGTTAAATTAAATAACTAGCCATCATCCAGGTCGGGAACCGGAGATTGTGTGTATCAAGTTGTACTTGAATGTTGATTACCGGGAAAAGACCGTGAATCAGTGTTGTACAGGACTGGAAAACTTAATCTTTCTATATAAATAAAATTAGAGTCTTATAAGTCACCTCAATTTAAGAAATTTATTTTTGCCAGAATATCTATATAGCGTTCGTAACCTCTGCTTAATGAATTGTCAGCGCCTTTCTCTTGATATAACGACCCCCTCTCCCTCCCTTTTGAAACATCACAGCTCCTTTGATGAAAATGAAATGGAAACAACGCTTGCGCCAACATTCGTCTGCTCCGTTTTACACTTCTGTCTGCTGTGCGCTATGTTACAACAGATTTCAGATACAACAGCTGGGGAATGATGACAATATAATGCTTAGTAAACTGTGATTGAGTGATTAGTAACCATGGTAACTTTAGTACCTAAGGTGTGATTGGGCAATGAGTAGGCCTAAATATGGCGACTTGTTGAATTTGTGTATGAATTGAAGAGAAACCTAATAAAGGACAGAAGAACAAAGAAAAAGAATAACAAGATTGTTCTCGTTACATTCTTTTTTAAGAGTGTTTTTATTATCTCTAAATATAATTTTACACTTTTTTATTACTTATCTACCAATTCCTATGTTGTGATACAGCACCTACCGGTAGCCTATCCGTCTATCATGCTTAACGTCTATTGCTTATAACACTTTCTAAGGTTTAATATTTACGTTATTTATAGCAGTGCAGTGTTTGGCTAGTTATTAGTTGAGTTTGAGTTAGCTATAATTTTAAACGTTGCCGTTTGTACAACTGAACCAAGATAAATGATTTAAATTGTCATAATTGCACAATAATAATGATTGTGCAATATTGAATTTTGTTTATAAAAATGCAAATCGTGACGTTAATGGCTGTTTACAGCGTTTTAATGGGTTTGTCATCTGTTTTTATACTATACGAGCTGTTGGCCCGTCCTACGTACGGAAATCGAGTACTCCATTAAAACTGTATATAGTGTGTGTATATTACTAATTCAAGCTTAGTTTAAGCAGTTCAAAATGTATAGTGAAGAAAAAGCTGCCAAGATGAATTCCTTTCCTTAAACAGTCGAGTAGTAAAATAATTTTCATAAGCTTTCTTTAGAAGATTAGTGAGCTGCGATTTATATACAGCAATAGTTATAGAATCTTACTTACAGTAGACTCCCTCTAGTTCGGCCACCTCGGGACCGGACCACAGGCCGAACTACAAAACGGCCGGACTAACCGGATGTAGTGCATTTTACATAATCAAAATACAAATAATAGTATTGCGCAATCGTGATATGTTAAGTCAATAACCTTGGTTCAGTAATAAAAACTAAAACTGTAACGTTTAAAATTTAAAATCACGCTTACTCAAGCAAAACAAAAATTACACAACACTGTACGTACAGCAATAAAATCACGTAAAGAACAGAACAATAGAAAGTCTAGTACAGTACTGCAAGCTACTGCTACCGTAGTCAGCATAGGCTACTACTACATGTTGTTTCAGAACATAAGAATGTCGATAAAAACATTAGACAACTCATAAAACAGCATAAAATCATAGTACTTAGTCTTAAATATAATAACGACAGTCGTCAAATAGGATAAAGATAACAATGGATGACGTAAAACACTGCCTATTCTTTCTTCTGTGTTCTTCTATTCTTTCTTTGGTTTCTCTTCATCCACACATTCAACAAGTTGCCATGGTTACTAATCACCCAATCACAAACTGTTGTGAGATAGCAAACAAGTGCACAGCAGACAGCAGTTGTGTAAAGAGCAGATGATTGTCAGTGCAAGCGGATAGCTTGACCTTGAAGCTAACGATGGCTATTTCTTTGTTTTGCTTTAATTTATTTTTGTCAAATAAACTGTGGTGTTTCAAAAACAATAATGGGGCAACCTACCGCATAAAAAATGGTCCGAAATATTTAATTATACACTGCATTTCAACATATTAGACCGAAGAAAAACTATTTATAAAATTTTCTCGGAATTTTTGAGGTTATGTAACATAGTTTTACATAGGTAATATCACAGAAAACATACAGTAGTATGTTTTCTGTGGTAATATGCAACAATTCACCCATAGAAGCACCCATCAACTAAACTGACATGAATTGTTTACTTCTATGGCTGGAAACTAAACATTCAAGTTGAATCCTGTAGAAGGCAATTCACCTGTGACGATATGACTTGTGCTGAGACCGGGCCGGACCATCCGGCGGCCGATCCGACCGAAGCCGAACTAGAGGGAGTCCACTGTATTTCCTATAATCAATGACAAAATCACAGAGTAATTAAACTAACCTCATAGTTCTATGGATTATTTTTTTATTCAACCAGCTGTTAGTTATAACAAATTATATTCCACTAAAACAAACTAAATATTTTAAAGACTGCTCAAAAAAATAAATTAGAACATCTAGTATTTCACTATGTATATTTAAGTAATCTCTCATCATCTTACCGAATAAATGAACGTATCAATGATTATAGCATTACACATAGTATAAATAAGTCAATTCTACGTATGTCATTTCATTTTCATCCAAATGCTGAATTTGTGTACAAAACGCTGAATGTTTACAGCTGTTATGTTAAGCAAATGGTATTATACCAAAAGCTAGAGCTAGAGTAGAATGTTAGTGTCGGCTGCTGGACTTTTTAAAATGTAAAACATAATTTCTAAAAAAACTAAAACCCTAAACTAAAATTATGGCTTCGGCATTCCCTAGTTCTCAAAATTATCTTTCTTTCAACACAAAAATCGTGAAAATCCGTCAAGTGGTTAATTCAGAATCGTGAAATAAAAAAAACCCTATGACGTTTTAATATTATAGATTGGATTAACCGTATTTTTCATTACCCCCCCTCCCTACTAGCTCAGGTAATCGAGTATCTACACAGTAGTGTAAAGTATTATAGCCTATGCTACTTGATTGTATTTTAATGAGCTTTACTGTATGTCAACAAAGCATTGTATGCTGAGTCGTGGTGTAGCTGGACGTGTCTGTACCACTCGTTATCTTTATCTATCTCAGCAGTTGAGCTATTCCACGGCCTCCTTTAACTACAGGCCGCGGCCAACGATGTCCAGGCCACTGGATTGCGCTCTCAGTGGCGTAGCGGGCACTGTTTTCGGTCTCGCTTCCCCCACTCTCTACTGGCAAGATAGCGGCGGCGTACCTCACGTGCATGCTAACTGTCACCCATTTCAACACTTGTTTGATGTAACAACAGTGTGCGGTTTTTTAAAACTGTGATTAAAATGTATCAATAACTTTAATTGTACGCTAAGTATGTGTTTAAAATGGTTGTGTCTTGTTCCGCTTACAACTGCATCAACAGAGTACAGAAAGGCAGTGGCATTTCGTTTTATGTGTAAAGTGCCTAATATAATAATCATATGGCCTAATATAATATTACAAAGGTGTCTGATAAGTGATTCCTTAACTCGTTACAGCATGTTTAACTTAACTGAAATTTGTTTTTTGTTTTTATTTTGTTGATAGGGCTAAACTAAAACTGTACATTGTAAAACATGCACAATGAAATAAATGCGTCCGGGCTTATTTTCTCAGAGGTCAGTCAACATTATAGGTTATGATGGTAGGTCGGGTTGATATTCATTAGGTATAATGTACTATTCACATCTTGTGCAATAAATCCCTACAAAAAAAAGGAAAAGACAATTTGAGTTATTATACTCAACTGACTGATTATGTAACTAAAGGTAAGCTCATTAGGGCACACGAAGATGTTTTTTATGTAGTTAAGTACGTTTACATTGTATTAACTTGTCAGCTTCAATATAAAGGAAACTTTAACACAAAAATACTATTTGTAGCCGCGTGTTCCCATTTTGTGGGCACTATTTTGAAGGGGCACGACGAGAATATTTCTTTTGGGGATGACACCCATGAATTGCAATTAATTAAGTTTGTTTGTAAACTTTTTATTAATAGTACGGTGCAATTAGACCTGAACCGGGACATCCAAAAAAAAAGTTCCAATCCAGTGCCAAATTGTTGAATACACTTCCCTCAATATGTAAAAAAAAGTTACACTGATTTGAGTGTCGGGTTTGGGGGGGAGGGGGTGAAAATGGGGTGAAAATGGGACTTTTTTTACATTTTCGCAAATAACTCAAAAACGGTGCATTTTTCTCAAAATATAATGAATTACAAAAATAATCTACATTAAATTTTGTACAAAATGATACCATACAACACCTATCTACTATAAACGGTTCAGGAGATATTGGGGGGCAAATGTTAATTTTTCTAAAAATTCTAAAAAAAGTAGGGTTTAAATGGAGGAAAACCATGGACACCCATAAAAAAAGGTTTCTAATGAGTGCTAAATTGTTCAACAGACCTCCCTTAACATTTGTAAAAAAGTTACACTGATTTGAGTGTCGGGTTTGGGGGGGGGAGGGGGTGAAAATGTGGTGGAAATAGGACTTATTTGACTTTTTTGCAAATAACTCAAAAACGGTGCGTTTTTCTCAAAATATAATGAATTACAAAAATAATCTAAATTAAATTTTGTACAAAATTATACCATACAATACCTATCTACTATAAACGGTTCAGGAGATATTGGGGGGCAAATGTGAATTTTTCTTAAAATTCTAAAAAAATAGTTTTTTAAATCGGAGGAGAACCATGGACACCCATAAAAAAAGTTTCTAATGAGTGCTAAATTGTTCAACAGACCTCCCTTAACATTTGTAAAAAAGTTACACTGATTTGAGTGTCGGGTTTGGGGGGGGAGGGGGTGAAAATGTGGTGGAAATAGGACTTATTTGACTTTTTTGCAAATAACTCAAAAACGGTGCGTTTTTCTCAAAATATAATGAATTACAAAAATAATCTACATTAAATTTTGTACAAAATGATACCATACAATACCTATCTACTATGAACGGTTCAGGAGATATTGGGGGGCAAATGTTAATTTTTCTTAAAATTCTAAAAAATAGTTTTTTAAACGGAGGAGAACCATGGACACCCATAAAAAAAGTTTCTAATGAGTGCTAAATTGTTCAACAGACCTCCCTTAACATTTGTAAAAAAGTTACACTGATTTGAGTGTCGGGTTTGGGGGGGGAGGGGGTGAAAATGTGGTGGAAATAGGACTTATTTGACTTTTTTGCAAATAACTCAAAAACGGTGCGTTTTTCTCAAAATATAATGAATTACAAAAATAATCTACATTAAATTTTGTACAAAATTATACCATACAATACCTATCTACTATAAACGGTTCAGGAGATATTGGGGGGCAAATGGTAATTTTTCTTAAAATTCTAAAAAAGTAGTTTTTTTATGGAGGAAAGCCATGGATACCCGAAAAAAAGTTTCTAACGAGTGCTTAATTGTTCAACAGACCTCCCTCAATATTTGTAAAAAAGTTACACTGATTTGAGTGTCGGATTTTTGTAGGACGGGGTGAAAACGGGGGCAGGAAATTGTATTTATAAGTAATTTTGTAAATTTCGTTAAGTAACACTTTTTCTTTCCCTTTTAACGCTTTTTGAAGAATTGATCGCTCAAATTACTTTGAAATTGTACTTTCATGGCACACAAAAATCAAATCACAAGTAACATTATGTTTATATAATAACTATACAATACGCTTTAATGTTAAACTTGTTTAATAATTGTTACCATGGCATCTTCACAATTATAATTTTTGCATCACTTTTGTGATGTAACCAATTTACACTGGCTTATAAATTTATAGTTGTCTTTCAGACATCAAAACCAATGAATTTTAATGTAACCGTCAGTCATAATGTAATTTGTTTTCTGTTCTCTGTCTCTAACAAAAACAATGACCAAAGTTGATCCAAAAATAACATATGATCATTTTAAAATAAAAATATGACAGTTATGTTGCTAGGTGACCTACAACCAAGAGTGAGGTTACCCAATGTTTTACTTAAATTTAGTGTTTTTAAACGTTTTAAATCGTAATATTTTAAATATAACTTAATGTAGGAAGCAGTTTGTAATGAAAGCTTTAAAGTTTATTTCATCATGAAGCTGGAATGTTTTAAACTTTGTCCTTATGTGTTTTAATATTTTTTTTAATATATACTGTGTTTAACTGTATTTTTAATTGTGATAGTGTTTATGTTATGGGAGAGTGTGTGTTGCAACCTTGCAGGGACAAAGGTGGGGAGCTTATTTCTCTTTCTAAAAAAGCTGTTGACAAAATAATACTGTGTAGCGAAATTAAAAAGGACACAGTAAAAGAAAACATTTTGTATGATGCCTCACCCAAAGTACACAGTAAGTGTCGACAAAGTTATATATTAAGGCCAAAGCCACCTAAACAGGATGCAGTTCCTCCTGCTAAGATATCACGTCAGTCATTTGACTTCAAAACTTTGTGTTTTCTGTGTGGTCAATTATGTGTGGATGTATCAAAGTATAGAAATTTATTCCAAGAAAAATGGAGTTTGGTGCAAAAGCAAAGTGTTATTGACAATATTCGAAAGGATGCAAACAACAGGCATGACCTGTGGGGAGATGAGGTAAGTTGCAGACTCTCTCAAGTTACAGATTTCGTAAGCTGTGAAGGGAGATATCACTGGTACTGCTATCAGCGATTCTTAAAGCCAGGATCTTCACAGCCTGACAAAAGAGCAATAACATCTAAAGGTGGTTCTAGTGTTGATGCCATCAGAGAACTTGCATTTGAAAAGTTGTGTGATTACTTGGAAGAAAATGATGAATGTCAGTATTCCTTGGAAGAATTGCAAACTGTATTTCTGCAACTCAATCCCGAGGTAGAGCCATACACTGACAAGCATTTAAGAAGGAAACTGGCCCATCATTTCGGCAACAGTTTGCATTTTACAGTGTTGCCTGGAAAAAAATGTATAATTTGCTTTTCCGGAACAAATCATAATATTTTATCAGACAACTGGTATAAAAACAGAAACATTGAAAATGAAATTCAAGAGGAATTACGAATCATAAAAACAGCAGCTGCTATTATTCGTCGTGAGATCAAGTCAAAAAGTTATAACTGCTCACAGTTTCCAACTATCAATGAAATTAGAACTGGAGGACTTGCAATGGTTCCTGAAGTGCTTAAGGTTCTGATATCTGATATTATCCAACCTACTTCAAAAAGACAAACTCCACAGAAAATTGAAAGGACGAAACAAATTATTGACAGGAAAACTACCACGATATGTCACAATATAATAAGTGCTGCCCGACCAAGATCTTTTTTGTCCCCTGTTCAACTTG